CAACGGGTGAAGTGTCTCGCCCAAGGACACAACGACCGAGAGTGTCTGAGCCGGGGCTCGAACCGGCAACCTTCTGATTACAAGGCGAACTGCCAACTCTTGAGCCACGATCGTGAGAAATACAGTTTGAGTAATGGAGATTTTTCTGTCTAGATTCTGTGTAGACACGATGAAGACCTTGACAGATAAGTGTTTGTGTGGCTGCAGGAATGTGGACAGATAAGAAATGTGACTCTGAATAAGAGAAAAGTATGTTGTAAACAGAATCATAGCTGATAGTAAATCAAGCTTAATACTGATGGGAATCAGGTAGAAGTTCAACCACTACAATGAAAACATTATAATGATTCAGGCTTCTCACTGAGTGTAGAGGCGGCCTGTGAGGCTGTGTGATCACATGTAAGCAGGATGGGGAGTGAGGGCGATACTAAGGAGCCACTAATCGAAAGTAATGTCTGACTTTGATATTATGGAGTCATCTTCATGTTCTGAAAAGAAGATTTCACATCTGTGTTTGGTTCAACCACAGAACTTTCTGACGTCTCCCCCCATAAAAATGAGGCGTCCTGGCCCTCACCACAGCTAAAGGGATTCTGCTAAAGACACTGCTGGGAAAGCCGGCGGCCTCCCTATGAAGAATGGTTAATGGTTAAAATAGCATCGTACAAAAAAGTGACTTGTGGCCTATTAGACAAACTGTATTTGGTCTCCTTTTACTAGCTGGCTCTCTGCCACCTGAGGTGCAGAGGTGTGTAATGGGGGGAGTGGTAGGTGAGTGTGATAAAAGTTATTTCTCTTGTTTTCTTCATGTCTAAAGTTTAATAAAAAAAAAAGTTGAAAACAAGAATGTCTGACTTTGAAATGCATGACTTCATAAAATGAATCGTATGTTGTAGTTGACCAACACAGAATTCAAGAGAAAAACTGATAAAATAGTATCCCTGTGTTTTTGAATTAAAAAGATTATGTAGAAATGCAGAGTCATGTTTGACTGTGGGGCGATCGTGGCTCAAGAGTTGGGAGTTCGTCTTGTAATCGGAAGGTTGC